AAAATGGCACTTTTATCATCTTCCTTCTCGAAACCCATAACCCCAGTCTCATTATTTGAAAAACATTAAAAAAAAATCCCAGTGAGGAATATTCTACAAAATACCTGATCAGTAGTCTTCAAAACTGTCAAGATCATCAAAAACAAGGAATGTATGATAAATTGTTACTGCCAATAGGAGCCTAAGGAGGCATAAACATAATGTGGATGAGGATCTTGGAACAGAAAAAGGACATTAAATTAAAATGAAAGACATCTGAACATATGCACTTTAATAATAATTCATCAGTATTAGTTTTTTAATTGTAAAATATGTATGACATTGATGTAAGATGTTAATAATAGGGAAACTGGGTGTGTTGTATATGGAAACTCTCTGTAGTATCTTGGTATTTTTTCTATAAATCTAAAACTGTTCTAAAAAAGTTTTTAAAAAATTTGTGAACATCTTCCCACTGTATTCTTCTGTTGCATCATTTTAAGTGGGGAGCCCGATGAGTTTTAAGTAGAAGGATGACATGATATGATTTGTGATTTTAAAATGATCATCTGCAAGATGTGCAAAGTACAATTCCTTACCATGATCTGCAAGAACTGGCATGGTCTGGCCTCTGTAAACCTCTCCAGTTTCATTTCCTGTCTCTTTCTTGCCATGCTTCAGTTACGCTGGTCTACTTTCAGTTTTGTTTTTTTCTTCCTGTCTGCCAGTCTCTTTCCTGCCTTAGGGCTTTCACACATGTTATTCTCTTTGTTTTTAAAGTTCTCCTCCATCTCCTCTCCCCATGGCAGTTCCTATGACTGTTTGTTTAGTTGTCTTCTCCACTATTCTTAAGTCCAAAGTGGGCAGGACTACCTCTTTTTCATTTAGTTATGTATAGCCAGTACCTAGCATAATGCCTCACGCAGAGCAACATTCAGTATTTGTTGAATAAATAAATAGTAATTACTGTTTTCATTCACGCTTTAAACAATATTAGTGTGAAGTTCTATTTTAGCTGCTATGAGTACACACAAAGGGTTTATAATACATAATTCTTACCCTGAAATAGTTCCCAATTTAAAAGGAGTGATTGAATAATATTGTAGCATGGAGGAAGACGCTATAGTTGGAGTGAAGTTCTGCCACTAGCCAACAGCGTGACATCAGATAAATTATTTACCTTCTCTGTTCCTTTATTTATCTATCTGTAACGTTAAGGAGTTTGACTGGCGTTTCCTACGGTTTTGGTTCTCAAATCTGTGTACAATTAATGGTACCTTGGTTCAGTTATTTCTTCCCAGGCTCCAGTCTGAGTCAGTAGGTCTGGGTGGGGTCCAGGAATTCCCCAGGTGATTGTGATGTACCACTAGGTTTAGGAACTACTGATGAGGTCTTTCTAGTTTAGGGGAAAGGCGGGGGCAGGGGAAGGGAAATAATCTTAGAATTCTATTGTAGTATGTAGCCGACTGTGAAAGTGCAAAAGTCAGGAGTCAGGCAGATTAAGGTGTTGTATTTGTTCAGAGGCAGGGAAAATATTTTTTTGCTTGGGTGATGTGGGGACTTAATGAGACAGCAATGTGGAAATGGACTTTGAAGAGAGGATGCAGATTTGGGCAGGTGCAGAAGCGATCACGATTGGTGTTTTGTCTAGCTTAGTTGGAGGCCAGAATATATGCAAAGAAGCAGGAGGGAAAACATTACCCATTTTGATGCAACGGACCATACTTCTGATCTTGTTTTCCCCGTTTTACCTGTGATACTTGGTTGTCCTTTTGGAGATGAAAGATTATATTATTGTAGCTTGATCTTCATTAGGTAGAGGTAAAATGAGGTGATGGACACCATGAGGACGCTTTGGGAAATAATTGGGCATATTCTTCCTCAAGCCTTTTAGGGCTGTGCCCTTTGAGATCCACTTTGACAACCCCATTGGTTTCCTGGTTAGACACAAAGAATATCAGGACCCACTATCTTATCTAAAATAATAATTTTGCTGTCAGAGTGATTACTATTAAACCAGAGTTGGCTTTTTTATTTAGATGAAACCGTATAAAGGCAACATTCTGAGTAAATTATATGGCATCCACATGATGAAATAATGAGCTTAAGTTTAGGGGATGAAAGTAACGATCTAATGCAATATTTAGAATAGGTATACAGTGTGTAGTTATTAACCTGAAAGTCACATCCTGCATTCTTTCGATTTGTGGAAGATTTGTCATTAATTGCCAGGAAGCCTCTGATTTTTCATACATAATCATGTCATAGCTGTTGACTTTCTTCCCCTTCTCTGGCCTTAAAAATACGTCTTTGTAAATAGATTACTTTCAGATCTGTAATGCTCCTTTTAAACATTGGGTTGCTAAGTTTAGCCCTGTTGCTCTCTTTTTTAAAATAGAATTGCCCCCCACCAACTTTGCCTCTGAGTCATCACTGACAAATCACACTTTGTTTTTTCATGGATGGCAACTGGCGTAAATTCTTATTTAACCCTCCTGCCCAGTGGGAGCCTGCTAGTTCTGAAATGCTTTTTGTTTTCATGAGCTACCGTTGTGTGGAGAAAATGGGTATGAGCTTCCATTTGGAAAACAGTCTGTGAGATGAATTCTGACCCTTCATTCAGACTTACTCTAAATGGGGCTGTTTTTATTCAACCGTTGTCAAAGACGGCTTTTCAAGGCAGGGTCAGAAACACCAAAGTCAAAATTGAGAAGAAAGAATAAGGTAGTGGGCAAGAAATGAGGCAGCTAGGCTGACCTTTAGCCTAGCATCCAGCCCATGCCCACCCCTGGAAACCATTTCAGATCAACCTAGGAGCTACACATTAACCTGTAACCATCCAGTCAGCCCACTACTTCCTGCAGCCCTTGCTGTTGTTGGCCTATTGACTATCACTTGACTTTGAAATTAGAAAAGTGGAAATACCAAGCCCCTTGTGACTTTTTGCTTGCAAAGAATTACCTTTATTAATGTGAATTATTGGCCTCCAGTAGCACCAGAGCTCCTTAGAGAGTGACTTTCACTAGGCTTTTTGAAAGGGACAATTCCCCCCTCGCCAACATGGCTAAATCAAAGAAACACCTTTCTTAGAGTAAAACCTCAGACTTGAGAAAATTTCCCCAGTTTCAGGAAGAGCCTTCATGGGAAAACAACTACTATTGCATCCCTGGTAGCTTTTTATCTGGTATATTGTTAAGAAGAAGAACAGAGTCAGAAGTATAGACCCTGGAAGCAAATTTAAGACCATTTACTAATCTGCAAATTGTGTCTGTGTTCACATTTCCTAGGGTGGCGTTGTAGGCTTGCCTCTACTTCAGCCAGACCATGTGGGGTATTATCTTCTTATGTATTGTTCGTGCATTATTTGGTTTGATACAGGAGTTATGCTTTTTTTAAAAAAAAGTCTGAAAACAATGGGTTTAGGTCAAATGCCCAGGATTTTATAGAGAAAGTGTCTGAAGGTCAATGTAGTTAAATTAAATACCTACAGTTGTACAACTAGAGGTTGACAGAAATTAGGAACCATGAATCAGGACTTCCCATCCAGTACATTTTTACTACAAAATGTTGATTTGATTTTCCATTTTGAAAGACACAGAAGTGATCTGTGAAACGATGATTAGCCCCAGGCAGCCCCAGGCAGCCCTGGAATGCTCCATGGTTCAAATGCCCAAGACCAGATGGAGGTCCAGAAGTGGATGACTCAAAGTTTATTAGTTTTGCCACCTGGGCAGTATAGCCAAACCAGCTGCCATAAGGCAGTTCCAATTTCAACAAAGCAGTAAATGAACATAAAAGTGAGTGTAAATCCCAAGAAAAAAGTAAAGGAGAATGGCTGCTGCTGCAAGGAGATTCATCCAGGCTGAGCCCCATTGACGGCCCTTGTAGGAGGCACATCTGCCACGCCAGGTAGAAGACAAGGACAGGTTGCAGCACCAAGCCCTGAAAAGTCACCCCTTGAGTCACTCCAGGAGCCAGTCTCCATTTGGGATGTTTGACTTGCTGGCTTGGTAGATTCCTAATCGCATCTGATGATAATAGAATGAGAAAAGCCAGCGCTGTTAGATCATGATGATGCTGTGAGGCCAGAAGCTTTTATCTGGAAACTATGGAAAGTTGTTATTTGGTCACCTCCTTTCCATAGTTCTGGGCCCTTGGAGGCATGGATAGTCATTGGGACATAAGCCCTTTCTGGCAGATGACCAGGAATCAAGTCATTATCCTTGTATGGAATTGAATTATTATAGGTTTTTAAGATCTATATATGAAATACTCCAAGAGTCAGAGGTTGACCCTACAGTTTTAGATGACCCCTTTAATAGATCTGTAGTTCTTGAAAGCTGAGACAAGTATAATAATGAGGATATGATCCTAGGACCAAGTTGAAAGAAGTACAGTAATTTTTGTTTAAATGAGAATGATTCACTAATGAATTAAAAAAAGTTAAGTAATCTCGATCCTCTGTGCCAGTAAGAATGCTTTGGGCAACAAGGAACAGAAAACTTGATTAAACTGACTTAAACAAAATAGAGGTTTATTATTATTATTTTTTCGTGTTATGAGAAGTTCAGAGGAATGTGGCTCCTGACTAGTTCACCTGCTCAGTGATGATGCAGGCTCTTTTTGTGTCATCTTGATGGAAAGTAAAAGGGGAAGGGAATGTACTAGTTGCTGATGTACTCTGCCATGGCTTCGATGCTAAAGGCTGGACCAGGGTTCCATCTGTTGGGTTAACCTCTGCCTTCAGGTGATCTTTTCAGGAGCTGAGTGTTTCTGTGTTTTTATTTCTCAGTTGACCGTTACTCAGTACTTAGTCTCGCACAATAATGTAATACTGCTCTTCCCTTCTTTGTATGATGAAAGTGTGGTTGCCTGCATATTTTCTAACCAAGCAAGACAATTTTTTCTCTCTCCTTTTTCCTTCTACAATGACATGAAGTGAAATCAAATGAGAATATTCCTATTATAACCTTCTGTTTATGTGTATAGATAAAGTAGCTTTTTTTTTCTTCTTCTGGTAGGTGGCATGTTTGACTCACGTCGCTGCAAATTATCTTATTGGCCAAGAGGAAGCGCGCCGCTGGGGCACAGCTCACGGAAGTATTGTTCCTTACCAGGTAAGAATACAGCAATATAGGATCAGTCTATTAGAATCTGCAGTTCTGTATGATATGAGTTTGAGAGATGATTCCTTTTTAAAAAAAGACTTTCAGGGTTTTCTGTCATATATCTTTGTTTGACTATAACAAGGTTCTGTTATTCACTTCAAATTCTGTGTTTTGCACATTTCTTCATCAGAAGATTAGTAACAGGACACTTGAATGGATCAAAAGAACTTGCTGAAAGTGAGTGACTTTTAGACTCAGATAATGGTTTGCTTTTATTTTTTTCGCCCAAAAGACACACTGATTGTACCCATTTTATAAAGCCTGGTTTGTTCGCCATGTCAATTAAAAACCAAATGTTACCTACCCCAGCTGACAATAATGTTCTCACAGGGTTGGAGAAAAATGAAAATTTGCGTGTGACAGATCTTCAATTCTTGAGCAAAGCAGATGGTTCAGGAACTGCTGTTCTTTATTAAGTGTCTAAACTTGTCCTCAGAAATTCTTGACTTTGGCTAGTGTGAATGAATATGTGAAGAAACTATGACTTTTCAAAAATAAAAACAAAAACTCCTTTTCAACCTTTTCAACAGAGGACAACGTTGGAAACCATGGGAATTCATCTCAAATGTTGGAAGTTCAGGCTTCAGTTTTTGATGTGTATGGAGAAAGTATCTGTGAGTCGGGAGGCTTTACAGTAAAGTTCCAAATCATGTCACATAGGGAGGTATTCACTATGTTCAAGTATAACGTTTATAGTCTATTTTTTGCTTATTTTAAAAAACGGAATGTCTTTAAAAAATGTTTTGTGTAGACCTCAGTATCCCTCCTGGGTGTTTACACCGAGAGCTCTGGCATCTTGGGTGTGCTCTCAATTATTTCACTGTGAGGTGAAAAGAAATTTAGAATCATCGGCTATTTTTATTATAGGTAGAAGATATGGGAGACTTCTGTGTGTGTGTGTGTGTGTGTGTATGTGTGTGTGTTTCTTTTCATCGAAGACAGAAATATACTTTTCCTTCTTGAATTGCCCCAGTTACGTAAAATGGCCACTGTGCTTATTTGATCTAGTTGATTGCAGCTTTATAATCTGTAAGAAATAAAAGAAGATCTACTAGGGACTTTCCTCAAAAGCCCAGAATTAATTTGTTTCCTCTTGATGGAGAACGGGTTCAGCACTGTGATTAAGGAACAAATGCAAATTTAGCTTGAATGAAGCTAGTATACCAAGATGGAGCCTAGATATGTTTGTAGACCCTGGTCTGTTTTCAATTTTAAAAAATAGATTTGGGAAATATTCTTATGGGTGAATTACAGGGCAGTTATAATTCAGTTTTCTACAATAATTAAAGCGTTGCATCTCATTTGAGTTGTCTGAGTTTTGGGCTGAAAGCCTATAATGGAAGACTCTGATGGTCTCAGGAATTAGTTACGGTGGCCACCTCACTCTCTTCAATTTTTTAAAATTTCATTTTATTTTTATATTTTAATTGAAGCAGAGTTGATTTACAATGTTGTGCCAGTCTCTGCTGTACAGCAGAGTGACTCAGTTTTACACATATAGACATTCTTTTTCATATTCTTTTCCATTATGATTTATCCCAGGAGGTTGGATATAGTTCCCCGTGCTATACAGTAGGACCTTGTTTATCCATTCTAAATGTAATAGTTTGCATGTACGAACCACAAATTCCCAGTCCATCCCTCTCCCTTCTCAATTTTATTGAACTCTGAAGGATTCTGGGGATCAACGACCTCAAATACATGAAATGAAAATTTTTGAAAAGTAGTGCTTCTTGATTTGTGTGTTATTTTGTATACGTGCAATTTTTTTTTTTGGCCGCTCTGTGCAGCATGTGGGATCTTAGTTCCCCAACTGGGATTGAACCTGTGCCCCCTGCAGTGGAAGCACGGAGTCTTAACCACTGGACTGCCAGGGAAGTCCCTGTATACATGCAGTTCTTAACTTCTCGGGTTGATTATCCACTTGCGCTCTTTCCTCCCTCCTCTTTGGCTGCCACCTTTTTGAAAATGAGTAAATTAAACAAAGTATACAGAATTGAGATAAGCATTTTGCTGCTTGAACATCTTAGTGGAGGCCTTTCTGAGAATTCAGATTTTTAAAAGGAATTTTTGATTTCAGTGCTCCTTTTGTTCCCATTATCAGTGGGTTTTGCCCCTGAGAAGTACCTAGCCCAAGGGATTGATCATTACATAATGCTCATGTTAATATTTTTAATGCATTGGTATTAGTTCAATGTTTCTCAACCCTTCAAACAATTATATTTGTAAAGACAGGAGTGTTTTAGGGACAGGAGAGGAGAGTGCAGAGAAAGCAGCTGGTCTTCAAAAAGAATATATTTTGCTTATTATGTATATGTGCAGTTATCAGTGTGGCCACCCCTCTTTAGATATATGACTAACATGATACACATCGAGGACCAAAGCAACAGCCTGGCTGCTCATAGCCTCCTATCGCTGTTAATGATCTTTTCCTATTTCAGTTGGCTTCCCCACACTTATTTCTCTTAAACATGCACATGAATCATTTGGAAATCCGGTTAAGATGCCGATTCTGATTCCAGGTGATGTTGATGCTGCCCATCACAATGATAAGACTGTAGACCTAGACTTTCTTATTATTGATGACTGCACCGTGTCATTTATATTCCACTGGCAAATCCCAGTGCTGATTGGATTTAATAGTCCATCTATTCCGTGCCTGACTGAAGCAGTGAATATGGCTGGGGGAAACATAACCACCATGTTATGTTCATGGTTGTCTCTCCCCAGCCTTACTCAGCAATCTTGCCACATTTATCTACATATTTATCCTCTCGCTCTAATATGATTATTTCACATCTTCTCTCTCTTCAGTTCTTCCTCCTCTCTCCTCATCCTTAGGCAAAGACTTTGTCTCATATGACACTAAAAATTGATGCAACCAGAAGAGAACTGCTGCATTTTTTTTCTACCATAACTCTCATACTTCATTTCCTCCTATCACAGTGAATGAACTGTCCCTTTCCACATTTTGCCGATTTAAAGGCATTGCTCCTGCACTCGATCTCTTCCATCACCTGTATTATCTGTCAGTGGTTAAATATATGATCACGTCCTTCACTTTAAAAAAACCCAGCCTTGGACATCGCCCCCCCCCATACCCTAACCCCCCAACTCTGGGGCATGTCTTATTCCATTTACCATCCCATTTCTTCGTGCTCTTATTTATAGGACAAAACTCTTGAAAGTTTTGGGTGGTGTCTGCTGGAAGGAAACACTGCAACCTCTATTCTGCAGTGCCATTTGTACCTCACAGGTAAAGAGACTTTACAGCACTCTGAAGCCTCAGGAGTTTGAGTGTAGGG